CTAATGAGGAGATGGCGAGTCGGGATCGACAACTTCATCCTTGCGACACCGACTCAGAAAACACTAGTTTATTAGTAAATAATTAAAAGATCTCCTTACCGTTTCCCCCCTGACACATTCATGGTAATTACTTTTTTCGGGCTTTGCGGCAAGCTTTAGCCTATTGCGTACATTTGAACGCAGAACTCTTCAGCTGCGCTGACTGCACGCACCATAGGCTACATAGTGCTGCTGCTGCGGGACACTAAACACCGTCGAGCCGCTCTTGGCAGCATGGTCTCGTGTTGTTTCCACCAGCGCAGCAAATTATTATTTTTTTCATCACTAATTGATGGATGTCTAAAATATAAAAATAGGAGAAGCCTAAAACAAGCCCGATGCCCGGCCCGCGTCTTAACTATGACTTGAAAATTGTCCCGAAGCCCAGCCCTAGGGGCGTATGTCGGGGACCGTCGGGCCCGGGCTGAAATGCAGGGGTCTAGTTCAGGCAAAAGGAAACACCCATACTATGCAGCAATCATCCTTAATTGCAGAAATGTGGCAAAACATCTCTGGAGAGAACCTCAGATTATTACATTCGAAAGTGCTTTCCATATTTGAATCAACATAGGCTACATTTGTGAACGCACATTTTTTGCAATGTCGCGCGCCAAGTCACGCTTCCGTGCGCGTCTTACAGACTGCAACTTCATTGTGCTGTTACTCCTTTCGAGCTGAATTTCACTAAATTGGTCAGCTCCCGACAGTATCAGGTGTTTTATTAATGGTGGGTATAATTATTTATTTCAATGAATGTAATCGATTAGATATCATAATATTTAGGCTATTATAAATCTGGTTGGTTTGTATTGGTGACAATATGTAAATTATATGCGTGCGGCCCGTAAGACTTGCACTTGGACCATAGTGCGGCCCGGTGGAAAAAAAGGTTGAGAACCACTGCTCTAAGCTAACGCCTACGTGCCTGTATTGAATATGATTACGCATAGCTCCAGTAGAGTTATTGTAAGACAATTTGACATTACACAGTTTACTCAAAACTTTTCAGTTTCTTTACAATTCAAAATAATCCCACACCTTCTCGTCTTTCACATGGTCATTTTTGAACTCGCCGCAACTGACACGAAGAAAACGCA